AATCATGTGACACTGAAGACTGGAGTAATGACTGCTGAAAATTCATTTGAAAATATATATAAATAGAAAACAGTTATTTTAAATTGTAATACTATTTCACAATACTATTTTTTCTACTGTGTTTTGATCAAATAAATGCAGCCTTGGTGAGCGTAAAGGTCCTGGCACACAGACAATTTTCGTATGCGTTTTTTCGTATTTGTCTTCCTAAAAATTCGGCACGCACAAATACCTCTCAAAATGCTTGCTACATATGTGAAAAACACAGAAAATTTAACCCGGTCCGATTTTTGTTATGACGGACAAAAGTTTTGGAGGCAGTGTGTGAACGTGATTGACACAACGTGAGGTCGTATTTATTTTTTAACGTGCAAAAATATTGGACGAGAATTTTGAACTCCGTGTGCAAGGACATTTAGAGACTTCTTTCAAAAACATAAAAAAATCTTACTGACCCCAGCATTTTGAATGGTATTCATTTTTAATATATATGACATACTGTATAGAGCAGACTAAACAGAAGAAAGAGTCTTATTTAGTACTGGTAGTTATATAGGTGGTTTCTGTGTGTGTGTGTGTGTGTGTGTGTGTCTTGTGTTAAGAGTTGAACTCACATCATAACGAGTTTAGAAGCAAAGCCATCTCTGATCTGTCATTAAAACATCAATTGGCTGAGAAAGTGACAGTGTGACAGCTTTAGTGATGCTTTTGGTCAACTGACATCTTGACCTCTAAGGTGATCTGCTGTGAGCTTGCAGGCACACACTCCACTGAGCTTCAGGGTTAAATTGGCAGAGAAAATGGAGCAGACAGAGAAAGGGGGCGTGTCAGGGGGCGGAACCCCTCTGCGCCATGGCATCGGTTGCTATGCAACTGAGTTCGGAGGCTATTTATACTCCCTGTGCTGCCCCTCCCACTGACTTAAAAAAAACGTAGATGGCATAGCTGCAGATTTGGGGGAAAATTAGATTTCGATTCACACAGCCAAAACACTGCAGTCAGTCCAAGGATGAAGGAGACAAAGACTATAAAAAAATCATTTCAGGATAGAAAACTATTCATTCAACAACACTAGTTACAAATATCACCACTATTACTAATGAGTGGTCAAATCAGCAACTCAATACTGGCAGCTGCAAGGTGTTGAGAAGGACACACACACACACCTTGGCCACATTCACACTGCAGCTAAATGTGGCCCAAATGTTTTTTTAAGGGACTGATGAGAACTTTTAAATGTGGCATTAAAATAGTCAAACTTGGCATGCTAATCTGAATTAAATAAATGGAGGCAGTTATTATGAACCTGATCTTCCGTGGAGGCTGCCGTGAAATTACACATCAATTAAGAACAAGGGCAAGGAGGCGGAAAAGGGCCTAAATTGTATTATTGGCATTCTGTGGACTCATTGTCTTCCACACTAATGGAAATGAAGCATGTCAATGATGGTGAATGATTATGAATGATAAAACCCGCATTATATTAGACTGTTCACACTGTATTTATTGAATTTTTTTTACATTTATTCTTAATTTTGTGATTCAATTTTAGTTTTGCATTTGTAATGTATTTGTAATTAATTGATCAATTTGCTATTTTATAAAACTGAATTAAAATGTCATGCATTTTGTGCTGTTCATGTTGTATTTTAAATGTATTTATTTTTATTTATTCTTTTTCAATTTAGTTCATTTTTCAATAAAATTGTTTTTTACATTTAAAGCACTTCAGGGCAGTATTTTTTTAATTATATATTTTTTAGTCCTTTTTTATTTTAATTAAAAATGTCACATATGATTTGGGCTGTTCATAGTATCATCTAAAAAACAAACCCGTGTCAAGTGTGAACATAGCCCTGAAGACTTTGTCAGGGTCTGAGATCACACACCTGTTCTAGAAAACAACTTTT